AAAACACTGAAGTATAATTGAGAACAATGCAAACACAGAACTAAACACTAAAGTGTAACTGAGAACATTACAAACACAACTAAATACTAAAGTGTAACTGAGCACATTGTGAACACAGAACTAAACACTAAAGTGTAATTGAGCACATTGCAAACACAGAACTAAACACTAAAGTGTAATTGAGCACATTGCAAACACAGAACTAAACACTAAAGTGTAACTGAGCACATTACAAACACAGAACTAAACACTAAAGTGTAATTGAGCACATTGCAAACACAGAACTAAACACTAAAGTGTAACTGAGCACATTATGAACCGAACTAAAAGTGTAACTGAGCACATTATGAACCGAACTAAAAGTGTAACTGAGCACATTACGAACCGAACTAAAAGTGTAACTGAGCACATTATGAACCGAACTAAAAGTGTAACTGAGCACATTATGAACCGAACTAAAAGTGTAACTGAGCACATTATGAACCGAACTAAAAGTGTAACTGAGCACATTGTGAACCGAACTAAAAGTGTAACTGAGCACATTATGAACCGAACTAAAAGTGTAACTGAGCACATTACGAACCGAACTAAAAGTGTAACTGAGCTTATTATGAACCGAACTAAAAGTGTAACTGAGCACATTATGAACCGAACTAAAAGTGTAACTGAGCACATTATGAACCGAACTAAAAGTGTAACTGAGCACATTGTGAACCGAACTAAAAGTGTAACTGAGCACATTATGAACCGAACTAAAAGTGTAACTGAGCACATTATGAACCGAACTAAAAGTGTAACTAAGGCACATTATGAACCAAACTAAAAGTGTAACTGAGCACATTATGAACCGAACTAAAAGTGTAACTGAGCACATTATGAACCGAACTAAAAGTGTAACTGAGCACATTATGAACCGAACTAAAAGTGTAACTGAGCACATTATGAACCGAACTAAAAGTGTAACTGAGCACATTATGAACCGAACTAAAAGTGTAACTGAGCACATTGTGAACCGAACTAAAAGTGTAACTGAGCACATTATGAACCGAACTAAAAGTGTAACTGAGCACATTATGAACCGAACTAAAAGTGTAACTAAGGCACATTATGAACCAAACTAAAAGTTTAACTGAGCACATTATGAACCGAACTAAAAGTGTAACTGAGCACATTGTGAACCGAACTAAATACTAAAATGCAAACAAGCCATGCTTGGCACAGTCCCCGCTAGTTATCAAATTTAAGATATATAGTTTTGTTTATAGTAATATAACATAAACATGCCAGGAATATGATTATGATGATTGTTTAACATTAAAATGATTGACATTTGTATCTGATCGTCAAACAAGTATTGAGAGATATTGCTCTGAAACAGCATTAATTAAACAAAATCAGCCATTTTGAATACATGTATAATGAATATATGAAACATAATCAGTCAAAGCATGTCAGAGATGTGGCTCTAGAAGCCCATTCATTAAAACAAAATGGCCGCTAGTCAGCTATTCTGAATCCAATCTGAAAAATAAAATGACGTGCATCAGGAACCCGTAATGTCTAATGTATGTACCAAGTTTGAACAAAAGCCATCCATAAATGCTTGATATTTGATGATTTTTAGCACAAAAATGACAACCATTCAGCCATTTTTAATAGGATCGTCAAACCAATATATCTGTATATCTATGACATGATGTATAATGAATATTTAAAGTTGAATATAATCAGTCAAAGCAAGTCAGAATTATGACACTAGAACAACATTCTTTAAAATAAAATGGACGCTAGTCAGCTATTTAGAATCTTATCTGAAAAAAAAATTGATGTGCATATGTATAATATCATGTATGATGTATGTGTGAAGTTGGATTGTGATTGCAGGAATTTCTAAGATACAGGTCTCGACAGCACGTATGCACGGAAACACGGAGGTCAAGACATAAGTTCTGTTTTCTGACGTGACTAATAATTACACTGTAAACTTGATTGGGGAAATCTGAAAAAGCACCAAAAATCAGTTGGGATGGTTTCACAGTAATGGGAAAAATGAAAATCTTGCAAAACGAATGATTAATGAGACTTTACATAGACATCACAGATGTTTGCTGCCCTTATTTTATTTGCCCTTGATTTACCTAAGATCCATTATATTGACACCATTTCCACAGGCACACCATAATTGCCTCAGTGGATCAACGACTAACAGGTACGAAACTGGATACTGCCCAACGGGTAGATAAATAGGATCATTCAATGGCTGTTTGGTCACAGGATCCAAATTCTGAAATAAAAGACAAAATAAATAAATTTGTGATTTGTAGCCGATTTTTTAATATTATCACAATCATTATCTAAATATGGTGAATAAATTATAGATATTATATTTTCATCCAAAAACCAAACATTATTCACCCTAATAGCTTGAAATTTAAGTTTCTCTTATTTAGCTGCGTGTAGATGAAGATAATTAAATTTCAGAACAATTCACTTTAACCCTTATCTGGTCGAGTCAATGTAAAAGTACAAGGGGTTGGTATGATAGAGTGAAATATAACATATTCCCTTTCAACAATATTAACATTATTAATAAGTATTGTGCGCCATCATTGTGCAACCTTCACTCGTGCCCCACTCCGGGCCATCTAGCAATGAACTATTTTTGCTTTCAAGGATGCAATCTAGGTCAATCTTTACAAAGTTGAAACATCTTTTTTTTTTTAAATTTTGTTTCACTCAATCACTGTTTTTATATAAGTTGAAATATATAAAAAAATATATTCTGAGAAAACTAAACAAAATTTGCAAATACTTTCCCTGACATTCTATTCTGAACAAAACCCAGCTTAAAATGTGTTTGTCTATATACATACATGTGCTATCAGAAACATACATGTCTTACCTCACAGACGGCAAGTGTTCCATCGGCTAAACCGACATAAATTCTATTGGTATATGACTGATATTTTATACTCAGTACAGTATCATGCATGTGTCGGCACCATAACTGTTTTCTACAAATGTAACACAAGGAAACAACTGTTAGATTGAAAATCAGATCAGTAATTGTTATAGTATGTACAATAAGTATGAGTGTATTTTTTTTTTGGGGGGGGGGGTAATGGGTTTATAAA